AAAACCATGAGTACTGAAATTGAAGCATTAAAAATCTCCCATCTAAAGAAAAAAAAAATCTAGGACCTGTAGACTTTACTACTAAATTCTATAAAATGTTTAAAGAGCTAATTCCAACTGAAACTGTTCCAAAAAATGAAATGAAAGTAACTCTATTAAATGTATTTTGAGAAGGCTTAGCATCACCCCTGCCACAGAAACAGACAAAAGCTGGGGTGGGGGGAGATATCCCTGGCATCTGTACACTGAGATGGAGACAGGAAAATCATGAGCTCAAGATCATTCATCTTCCACCATAGAGAGAGTTGAAGAATAGCCTAGGCTACATGCAACCCTGTTTCTAAATATAAATAAATAAATATTTGAAAACAAAGTTATTTTTTTTTCTTTAACTACAGATCCAAATCTGATGAGAAAAGGCACAAAAATGCTCAGCGAAATACTAGCAGTAAACTGACCTCAGGGACACCTTTAAAAGATTCTGTATTGTAGCTTTACAGTGTTTTTAAACACCTATCGCAAGGCTTGATGCAGAAGCCAAGGACCTGGTAGTGAGTCTGTCTACTCGGCTGCCATCTTTGCTGTCACTAGAACCTAGTTTCTTCAGCCCTCCAACATGGACTGAAGACCAGCAACTCTCCAAGATCTTTCCAGGGACTGCTGGGCGTTTAGCTTCATAGACTGGGTAGCTGCCGGGTTCTCTGTCCCCCACCTCACCTCCCCCAGCAAACAGACAGACATTGCTGGGCTACCCAGCCCCTAATGTATAAGCCAATCTAACAAACTCTTTTTTTTTTTTTTTTTTTTTTACAACATACGATTACTCCACTATTTCTGGTTTTCTTTCTTTCTTTCTTCTTTATTTATTTTTATTTTTCGAGACAGGATTTCTCTGTAGCTTTAGGAGCCCGTCATGGAACTCCCACTGTAGACCAGGCTGGCCTCGAACTCACAGAGATCTGGCTGTCTCTGCCTCCCAAGTGCTGGAATTAAAGGCTCGCCACCAACGCCTGGCACTGTTTCTGTCTTTCTAGAGAACACAGACTGATGCCGTCATCCTCAGCAAAACAAAGTCAGAGGAACACAAAGCTGACTTGAGAACGTACTACAAAGCTATATTAACCAGCACAGCATGGTACTGGCATAGAACTATACATAAATCAGTGAAATGAAATATAGAACACCTAATTTTATTGCAGGATAGTATATGTTATCAATTTACTATAAGTGTTTAATATACCTATTCTTAAACAAGAAGTTACTTCCATCTTGGCAGGAATCATGCAGATACGTCAGCGTCCCGCATACACTGTTTTTGTTTCTTACATTGCTATAGCTTTAAATTTCTTCCTTTCTCACTGAGTTCTCCCATCACTCTGCCTTCTAACAACAAAGGTGTGGAGCAAAGAGAAGCCTGCTTCCAGGTGTGCAGCATTAGAGGCCAAAACAAACGCTGTCATCTCCATGTAGAGGGTAGGGAAGAAAGGGAGCCCAGAGAAGGGTGGGCAAAGCATTCGGAGAATTGAGAGAAATAAAGGAGAGCGTCCTCACACCTAACAGAATCAGAAATGCTGTTCGACTGAAATCATCTTGAGTTTCACCCTTCTTCCAGGAATGTTACCAAGTGAGAATGTCCACAGAACTCAAGGGTGATTTCTAGCGCCATCTACTGGCAAGCACGGAACCAGCTAAGACCGGCATTGCGGGCAGAAGGCGGGGCTCAGTTCAATCGTCTTGTCACTTTAAGAGGCAGCTTTTCTTGAGACTGGCTCCTTTTCTGCCTGTTCTAACAAGGATTTGAGACTCCTAGGAAATGTCTGCGCTTCTTCTGTGCTGTATCATAACCCTATGGTTCCAGAAGTCATCTATGTAAGGCAGCAGCTGTCCTTTTGTCCTGCAGAAGCTGTTGTCTTCCCTTTACATATCCTTCAGTAAAGGCATGGGATAGCCTTTCAAAAAAAAAAAAAAAAAAAAAAAAAAAAAACCTAACGCTTATGAAAAGGGGAAACTCAACTCACCAATCCTATTTCTTACTATTTAACAAATATGTAGGAACCAACTAGTAAGCCACGTCACAAAAAAGAAACTGGAGAGCTGAGGTTTGCTAGAAGCCTGGCGCTCCATTAAGCAGACTCTAGGATGCATACTCAGTTACAGTGAGGCAGGAAGCTGCATGCTCTACAGAGGAAGTCACCCTCTGCAGCAAGCTCACGTCCTCAGCTGACTCAAAGGACATCTACTCAAGGCAAAGAACGCAGTAGTGAGACAAGAACATTAACCCATTACCAAGCGATGGCTGCCCTTAGGACTCACTGCTGACCACTGATGGCTACGACTTGTTCCTGGTTCCCGGAGTATCCCCAGTCAGGGATGGAATCTTCAGCGACCATTAAAGCTACCCAGATTATCAGTTTCCTAAGACTGCTGAAACATGCTACTTCAAGCTTAGAGGAACTCAAACATTGTCTTACAGTCCTGTGTCTTAGTTAGGGTTTCTGTTGCTGTGAAAAGACACCATGATCACGCCAACTCTTATAAAGGAAAACATTTCATTAGGGTAGCTTACAGTTCAGAGGTTCAACCCATCATCATCATGGTGAGACATTGCTGTGTGCTGGCAGACATGGTGCTAGAGATAGCTCAGAGTCCTACATCTTCCTAGGACAACAGGAAGTGAACTGAGACACTGAGCATGGTTTGAGCATACATGAGACCTCAAAGCCCACCCCCACATGACACACTTCTTCCCACAAGGCCATATCTGCTCTAACAAAGCCTCACCCCTAATAGGGCCACTTCCCTATAACCTTATGGGGGTCCACTGTATTTAAACTACCAGGATCCTGTAATTCAGAAATCCAAAAATGGATTGCACTGGCTAAACCTGAATTGGGGGCAGTTTCCACAATGCTGGAGAATACAGGGCAAAGAGCTTCGGGCCTGGAAACTCCTGGTAAGTTTTCTTATATTTCCTAGCTACAACAGGCCAACTGTGTTCCTTGGCTAGTGACCTTCCATCTCCAAGACCAGTAGTGACCAGTGCAGTCTTCAGCACATTGTTTCACCTTGAAATGATCACTTCTGCCTCCCTCTGCCATTTAAGTAACCTCGTGATAACATTAGGCCAACCTCCATAATCCAAAATAACCTCAATAGTTTAAAATCAGCTGACTAGCATCAAGCCCACTTGTTACAATAATTCCCCATCACAGTGGGCTGTACCATATTCACAGATTGCAGACATTTTTGGAGGAGCATTATTCTGCTTACTATGCCAAGTGACTCCAATGTGTAGTATAGATAAAAATTGTTTCTATACCCATAAAAGACAGACTATGGAAGTTACCCAGTTGGCAAGCTAAGGTGTGATAGGTTGGCACAGTGAAGACTTGGTGCAGGTGCAGGATAAGAGGCAATAGTCAACTTCAGCCATTTCATATTGCTGCAGAACTTGTTTGGTGCTGTGGGACAATGGTCTTGTACTTTGTAAAGATTTCTCACTTGTATCTTAATAAAATGCTGATTGGCCAGTAGCCAGGCAGGAAGTATAGGTGGGGCGACCAGGCAGGAAGTAGAGGTGGGGCAACGAGAAGAAGAGAATTCTGGAAAGAGGAAAGTGCAGTCTGCAGCCATCACCCAGACACAGAGGAAGCAGATGAGAATGCCCTGCTGATAAACGTATCAAGCTACATGGCTAACACAGACAAGAATTATGGGTTAAGATGTAAGATATAAGAGTTAATAAAAAGTCTGAACTAATAGGCCAACCAGTTTATGATTAATGTAGACCTCTGTGTGTTTCTTTGGGATTGAACAGCTGCGGGACTAGGCGGGACAGAAACCTCGGTCAACAGTTTGGTAGGGACCAAGGTATCATATTGTATTCTCATCCTATTCCCTGATTGTACTGGAAAGTGAAAACTGTATACTCTCCCAGACTGTGAGAACCACAGCAACCAACCATGACCATTCTAAGAACACTTGAGTTAAAACAAGGTAAGACTCTAGTTTTGTCTCCAAGCTCTCAGCTTGCTCTTTGTAATATGCTCGGAGGCAGGGCTTATTTCCAGACTCTCTGGCATTCTGCATTTCTAAATGCTATCTCTTAAATGGAAGATAATCTTTCTGGCACATGGGTTAAATGTCTTCAAAATGGTTTCTGATTGGCCAACACTTTAATACACAGAAGCTTACCCCCATACACACTTAAAATTTCTGGCTCACAGTAAAGACCTACTCACACTAGGGATACCTTTCTGGCAACCTATGGGGCATGGGTGTTTCTTCTCCGGACTGCCTGTTCTTACCCTAGCATTTGCTTTAGACCTAACAATTAGTTAACGGCCTTAGGTTCACAACTCTCCTTTCCCAGCACCTGCTATGTCCAAAGTTAGGCAGAAGTCTTATAAAGGGGGGAAAGGCTCGTAAGGCCCCACTCCTTCCCAAGGCGCTATATAGCTAATGTTTGCTGGGTGGAAGTGGAAATAATACTCTACAGTGGTGTAATCACTGTGCTCAAGTAAATAACCCCCCCCCATTGTCATGCAAGCAACACTAATTAAATGCAGTGGTCTACCAAGACAAAAAAGATGCAATTTTTGTTAGGAAAAGGATCGTTTGAGAGGGAGACGATGGGGAATAATGGGGTGGGGAAATGTAATCAAAGTACATTACATGTATACTAGTACATATATGTATGAAATTGTATACATATGTGTGAAATTGTAAAATAATCAAGTTTTTAAAAATTCTCATACAGATTCATTTGCCTGACCTTAACAAAAGTAAATCATTCTTTAGTGGAAAAGATGGGGCATAGGAAGTGACTCTGTGTGCTAAAACCTTCTCCACAAAAGCAAGTTAGTGCCCTGGGAGTCAGCTGAGGGACGGGGAAAGGTCAGCAGCTAGAACATGCTGGTCTTCATTGGTACACATTATAGAAAATGAAGCTGAAAACTGCTCTTAGCTTTCAGTTACTATAAAAATACTGAAAACAAACCTTGCAAGGAAGAAAGATTTATTGGCTTAGTCATGGTTCTAGGCCATGAGTGGGCAGACCTTGGTAACTTTCCAACATTGTCCTTGGGCTTGAGGTGAAGCAGGGCATCACGGGAAGGAAGATATGGTAGTTTGAGTGCTTCACGTGACAGTGGCCAAAAGAGAAAAGCCAGAGTCTCTATAGTCCTTCAAGGGCACACCGGTGACCTAACCTCCTCCACAAAGCCCGAGTCACCTTTCAACATATGACCTTTGGGAAGACACTGAAGATCCACAGCAGGACACTGCCTAACTGTAACTTCTCCCTTGGCCTTCCCTCAGCCTCCAGAAGCAGATGACCAGTCCCATTCTTCATCCATAACCACACTTCTAAAAAAAAATCAAAGCAATCATCCCTGGGACTGCCTCCCATCTCAAAAGGTCGGAGGGATGTCACCAAGAAAAACATGAGGTCTAAAAGACCTGTGTGTCATACTCCAGCAGCCCAGTGCACATCAGTCTGGGCAGAAAGCTGATCACACAATCTTTACAGTTTTCAGCATATCTGACAGGACATAGGTGTCATCCCAACCCTGCCCAGGCTTCCTCAGGGTCCGCTCCAGAGCCTGGGCCATTTCCAGGAGCTCTGGTGTAGCCCGCTTCTGCTCTGGCTGCAGCTGACAAAACAGGATCTCATTCACTTCGCCCTCAATTCGCCGGACATACAGGAGAGGGAAGGCTGCCTTCAGTCCAGCCAGCACTGAGTCCTTTAACTCCACATCACGACACACAAGGTTAAGGATAAAGATACCTGTGGAACAGGAAGGAAAGAGTAGATTGACCACAGATCCATGCATAAGGAGAACCCAGAAGTCTCTAACAGGGAGGCTGGTGAAGGGAGAAAATCAGGAGAGCCTGCAGAGAATACACAGCACACAAAAGCATAAAGACTGTGCAGATGTGACACTAAGAAAGCTTTTAGTCTGACTTCCTAACGCTTCCCATCGCTAACACGTTACTGTAATATTCTCCATGCCTAAGAAATCTTTTAATGAAAAGTAATTAATACCCTTCACAAAACACAAATTTATCAATTCCACAAGAATGTTATATTCTTGACACACACGTCACATGGGTATTTACTATCCAGTGAGAAGGCCAAGGTTATCTGACTTCTGGCAATCACGGTTCCAATCAACCCAGCCACCAGAGGACTTTTAAAATGGAAAATACCTAGGGGTTGTGGACGCAGGCTTCAAGTAACAAAGAACTCAAGCACCAACTGAGTGTAAGTGTGGCAAGTCTCTCAACCTAAGTTTTCTCATCTGAAAACGGGCTCCTATGAAGATTAAGTAACAAAATGCCAAGTCCAGGGCATCTGGAAACCATCTGAGTGGTAGCTAGAGTCACCAAGCTGCTTCAATGTGAACTACGACGACATTATAAACCACTTGGCAAGATCAACAAAAGCTGAACACCATAAATCACAAGCAGTTACAGGCCTATGGATCTATTCATCACACCTATAAAGAAAGTTACCAAATACATAGCACACACTAAGACTATTACTGGTAACACCGTTTCTATCACCTCCAAACACTGGTGCTGGGCAAATGAATGGTAGCATAGTCACATGATACCAAGAGCAGTAAAAATAAACAATATCATCACAACACCATGGTCAGATCTCACAGACATCAGGCTAAGTAAAAGAAAGCAGACATTTAAAAGAATATAATACATGTGACTCATCTACAGCAAGAAACAAACTTAAGCTGTGAAGACAGTTGAATGTTTTCCCTTTAGAGGAGAGGAGGAGTCAGTAAGGGGTGGCTCCCAGGGTGCTGGAAACTGTGTTTGGTGCAAGCAGACAGCCAATTTAGGAAAACTAATCAAACTACACATTTACACGAAATTTTTATTAAAGAATAATTTTATGCTGGGTGGTGATGGTGCACGCCTTTAATCCCAGCACTCAGAAGGCAGAAACAGGGAGTTGAAGGCCAGCCTGGTCTACAGAGTGAGTTCCAGAACAGCCAGGATTACACAGAGAAATCTTGTCTCAAAAAAACCAAAAAAGAACCATTTTGGTTTTTATTTTTTAATTATGTGTGTGATGTGATATTGGGAATATGCATGCTGTTATGCAGGCACCCAGAGTCTGGTAGAGGAAGGGCCTTGATTCCCTGCAGCAGCACCCAGAGTCTAGCGAGGGCCTCGATTCCCTGCAGCAGGAATTAGAGGCAGTTGACATGAGTGCTGGGAACCTAACCCGAGTCCCCTGCAATAGCTGCAATGGCTCTCACTCTCCAGCCCAAATATTTATTCTAAAGGACCCTTCCCTCTTTCCTTCCCAGACTCTAGGGTTTCTTACCTTCATGAGACAGGATGCTTTTGACCTTCTGCAGAAAAAGTTGGTCCACAAACGCTGGGGGAGGACAACTCATTCCCAGTGTCGGATCCTTACTGTCTACATCAAACATGATCACATCATAGTGGGGTCGAGCTGCGAAAGAGGAGACAATAAGTCCTTGTCTTTGTGGGATAAGATGGCATCACTTACATTTCTATACACACACCTGCTCTGAAACCTGCTGTGGGCAACTAAGCCTGAAGGATGACATCATGAGGGCTCTGACTATTAAAGACTCAAACGTCACGGTTTAGAGCAGTCTTTCTCGTCAAAGTTCAAACCACCCTCCAGCACAGAGGAGCAGTCCTCACCTTCCAGACGCACACACGACAGGCTCATTCTAGCATGAATGGTACACACTATGCCTGTGGTTTTTAATGCTGGAAGAAATGAGCATCACTTTGGGAAGTTTCTACAGACTTGAAAAATGTGATGTCTAACCCCAGAGTGGTGGCCAGAAGTGAGAGGAGGTGGGAAGGAAGCCTATGGTGTGTTCTGCCAGCTCCCCAGGTAATTCGAAAAGTATAATCAAAACTGAGAGCCAGTCAACTGGTCAAAGCAGCTATCCAGGCTAGGGTAACTGATGTGGGATACCCCTCTGAATGCTGTGAATATGTTCTATTACCATTAATAGTTAATAAAGACACTGATTTGGCCAATAGCCAGGCAGAATAGAGCCAGGCAGGAAATCCAAGCAGAGATACAGGGAGAAGAGTGAAGTCAGAGAGTCGCCAGGGAAACAAGATGTGAGATAACAAGCCATAAGTCTCATGGTAAAACATAGATGAATAGAAATGGTTTAGTTGTAAGAGCTAGTTAATAATAAGTTTGAGTTAATAGGCCAAATAGTTTTTAATTAATATTAAACCTCAGAGTGGTTATTCAGGAACTGGTGGGTGGGAGAGAAACCTCCAGTTACAACTGACCAGGCATACATTAACATTAACCAGCCACACTGGGATCCTATGAAGTTAAGGAAGGAACAGGAGACCTATTGAACCTACTGTTTTACAGAAAAGTAATGTGCACTTTATTCTATGTCTAAGGTACAAAGTGAAGGAAACCCTGCAATAGCATTTCTCAGCCTCACACTGCTGGCTGACATTTTGGGTACATTTTGGATAGAAGATTTTCTGTCATTGGTGACAGTAATGGTCCCTCCCATTTGTGACAACCAAAACCATCTTTGCTGACCTTGTCAGATGTCCCTGAGTTTGGAAGTCACTGACTTGTGTGAATGTAGTTTTACTCTATTTCTGGCTTTACCTACAGATGAATGATTTATTAAAAAAAAAGATCAACATAGGCCCTATTTTTTCTTCCCTTTGCTCACTGGCTACAGACTCCGGCTTCCTTGAAGTGGTAGGAAGAGGCAAGGTTACAAGGTCAGAAGAGGGGCTCACTGGTCTCTTTTACTGGTTGCTACACCCCAACAAAACTAGTTCATAACCAAATGAACACACAGGGGAAGACTGACAGGATGTGGATAGCCCCTCTGAGAAGGGAACTCTAGAGACCCGTGCAGGTCTGGCAACCTTAGACTAAGGTTCCATAACTAACAATCCTCTGAAGACCCCCTCCCTCGCCCCGCCCTCAGCGGTACCTTCTCCTTCCGCCAGGCTGGTAATATAGGCCAGGCCATCTGCAATGTGAACCTTCATCCGGTCACTCTGGGAGAAGCCAAACCACTGGGTGGCCACTTCCAACATGGAGGGGTCAATCTCAACAGCATCCACACGAGACTTTGGGAAATGATCATGAACGAAGAGGGGGAGGCTACCTCCTCCTAGACCCACCACCAATAATGCCAGTGGAGTCTCTATAAGAAGAGAGAATGTCAGTAATGGTTGTTCTGCCCAGTGATAAACATTTAAGGACCTAGAAATTGAGACGTCAAGATATTTGCTCTTTCAGCCTTGACGCCATTTTGGCTAGATCCAGGAAATGAACCATGCCCAAATTTACGGTCCCTTACAAACTCCAATGTAACTGGCTGCCATGCTCCCAAGAATCTCTTAAGAGTTACTGGATAGACTCCCATCCTCGGAAATGGAGGCACAAAGCAGCATGAACACAACACCCCTCACCCAGCTCTTAACTCAGAGCCCTAGCCACCTTTTCAGACACCCCAACAACACAAGCACAACCCATTCAAGTTCTTTAAAGGACAGAAAGCAAAGACCCAAATTCTAACCCTAAGCAGAGAACCACAGTAGCCACAAGAGTACTAACAGAAGAAAACAAACAAGCAAATCACCAGAAAAGGCTGGACCCCGAGATTAACTAGAAAATAAAGTCAGGGACTTCAGGTGAAGACACTTGTGAATGAACACATGAAGCTGCCTATTAGTGCAAAGTTATTTTAACTAACTATAATAAGAATTACAGTTTGTCCTCAAATAAGGCACTACTAAAAGCCACATATCACCCAGAGACACTGGAGATGTCATAAACACCATCCAGTTAACACTATATACACATGTGGAAAGTTATAAATAACTTAAAATTCTATGCTTAACTCAAAATCTGTGTGCTTCACATTCCTTGCTGAATATATTTTATTATACCTTAATTTTAAAGTAAAATAAACGGAAGAAAACAAAGTTACACCCCAACACAGGCAGCTATTTCAAGATGGCAGGCTGTCTGAGGCAAGTTACCTCAACTCACTAATGGAGACCATGGTCAGATGAGGGAGGATGGAACCCACGTGCATCTGTGGGTCTGTAGGAACTGCCTGAGCGACACGGCTATGTGCTCCGCTCTTGGGCTTTCGGGCTCTGACTGTGGAAGGCAGTGCTATCTCTTACCTAAGAGCTGCTCTGGGTTTCTCAGCAGGGCAAGGCCAGCAATCATGGCTTTATGGTGTTCACAGCAGAGGTAACTCTTATCGATGGACTGCCCAGGGGCAGGAGGGACGTCCTCAGAAGCATCAGCAGGCCGCTGTTTCTTCCTGTCCTTTTTCCGTTTCTTCTGGGCTAAGGGAGAGAGTCACACTACTCAAGTCCTGTGCTAGCCCTTGGAAATGAAGGATGCCGGCAGCCGTGTGCGGCAACAGCTTTAAACAGATCGAAGAACCAACTGTTAAGTAAGCAATTGTGCTGCCGACTGGTTGACATTATATAGATAGACTCAAACTGACCATTGAGAGAATATTCATACCATAGAAATTGGCAAATTCTACAAATCAGACCCTCCCCACAAAGACATGGCTGGCTTAACACTCACCATATAGTGCTGAATAGCAGAGGATCAGAAAAGGTACAAAGCAAAAGCACATTCAAAACCTGGAAATCTTAACTAACGGGCCTCGAGCCCTCCCCTTTGAGAATGTAAGACCCTTTAGAGGAGGAAAGTGGACTCATTCTTCTTTTTCAGAAATGTAAAGTCACTACTAAGTCCCCAACATCACTTACTGTACCAACACTTACTATAGTTTTCACTCTGAGCTCCTCTCATAACTGTTTCCAATTCTTTGCCCATGAAAAAAACTGAGCATCTCAGATATTCAGTAAAGTACACATGGTTAACAGGCAGGGCCGGTAAGACACAGACCTAGGGCTGTTTGTGCCCCGTGTATCTACCATCTTCCTACTATGTCCCCTAGACAGTACAGTGCACCATCCCACTGCTAAGGAAATCACAGGGGTGGAGACCCTACAACAGACCACCCTACTCTGCCCACTCCCTCGATGCCATCCTAAAAGGATGGCTCTGAATTGTTACAGAATCTGCACTTGCTTGAAGCATCAGAACTGAAGTGTAACCATGGGGTACTTTTCAGACGTAGTCTCTTCTGAGTAATCGCTATTTTGTGATCACACATACCCCCGTGATAGATACTGTTCCTCCCATGGGAAGAAAACTTTACCAAGAAGGCAAGAAACTTGATAATGCCAGGCAGTGGTGGGGCACTTGAGAGTCAGAGGCAGGCGGGTCACTGTGAGTTCAAGGCCATCCTGGTCTACAGGGAGAGTTCCGGGACAGCCATGGGTACAGAGAAACCCTGTCTTGAAAGAAACAAAGAAACTTGACAATGTGGAAAAACCTGAAACTCAAACTGGAAAGAACATTTTGTTCTTTTCAGCCATTTATTTGACTGAGGTGTGGGATGAGATTAAGGAAGCTGCAGCCTGAATTGCCAGCTAAGAGGGTGGGAGCCCACATGCATGGAGAATGCCCCAAAGAAAATCATCCTGAGCCTACAGGATAGGACGAATCTGTGACTGCAGGAGTGGACTTCTCCCTCACCTTCTTCCAGATTCGCTGTGACAACAGCATGCTCAAACAAAAGCAGTAACTGGGAATCGGGCCACCCAATTTCAGATTTCTGGGATCAAAGGGGCATTCTACTGGAGAGGTGGAAGACAGAAACATTAACTTTTTGATCTAAAGCGAATGTTTTTTAGACTAGTCTCATTCTGTCTGGCCTGAAACGGTTTCATAGGCCAAGTCGGCCTGAGATGATGTTGCCTTCTGAGTGCTAGACTGACAAGTCCAGCCTCAGTTTTCACACGAAAGGTATGATTTTAAATCAGTCACAGTGATACAAACATACACAGCCAAGACGCAGGGGGAGGTCAAATCTCCTCAGGGAGATCTCACGGAACATCTTAGGCATACTAAGGAGTGGCTGCTCTCACAGAGGAACAGAGTTCAGGTCCCAGCACCCACACCACAGCTCATGGCTGCCTGTAACTCTAACTCCAAAAGATCTAATGCTCTCTCTCTCGGGACCTACACACATACAAAATTTGTTTTACTCAAAAAAAGAAAATGAGGGAACCAAAGAGAGGTCTGGATCTCACTGACCAAAACTGTAAACATCAGGCAGCTATAGCCACATTAACTGAAATATAAATTAATTAAAATTCAAACTAGTGTGGTGATTTATGCCTATAATCCCAGCTTAGGAGACTGAGGCAGAGGACTGCTGACGGTTCAAGAACAATCTAAAGACTGAGACTATCTCGAACATAAAATACATAAATAAGTAAAAGTCAATTTCTAAAAACAATCAGTCACTCCGACCGTATTCCATGTGCTCTGTATCCATCTACAGTTAGGGGCTCGCACACCAGAATGGAAGCTCATAAACCATTTTCTTCATTACACGCAATCCCACCCAACAGTGCGAGACTAGATGGCAGCTGAGGCACCAACCTAAGTCTCTCTGAATCAGGCAATTGCAGGGCACGCTACGGGGCAGGGCTCAGAGGGGCACAAAGGGATATATTTTATATATGTGTGTGTGTATGTATCAGCTGATAAAACAGAGTCCCTTTAAACTAAGGCACTAAGTCAATATCAGGCTTATTCAGCTTCACTACCGCTACTCCTTACCATGCAGGGATAGGCTTTGTTCAAGGCGGGAAGAAACACTTCTGTTCGATTATCTCCACTAGGACCCTGCCCAGATGGTGGGAAGAGCCCTGCACTTCCCATTACAAAGATCTAGCTCTGTCCTCCATCTCGGCCAAGCTTTTACTTAGTTCTTTTTAAGGACTAATTGAGTCTATCCAGACCCGGTCCCACAACACATCTGTGATGCCTCACCTCGGTGAGACACCTCCTTCAGCAATCTGGCTTCTGACTGCACCACGTTCCTGTTGCTGAGGAAGATGAGCCGCCGAAAGTACCACCTATCTTCCCCTTGCACGTCCTCAATAACATAGTCACCACTCAGGGCACTGTGGTCTTGATGCTGAACAGTCCGGACTCCAATGTCCCCACCCACAGACAGGAAGGGAACCTGTAGGAGCAGACAGATTGAGGCAAAAACATCATCACACTGCACTTTTGGTTGAGCGTGAGAACTTGCCCCACACCAAGGACAACAACAGCTTCTTTCTAAACCAGTGCTCTCCTGGGCCTTTAGAGACCAGACCCACTTTAGAAACTCAATGAGGGGCTGGAGAGCTGGCTCAGCAGTTAAGAACACTGGCTCCTCTTCCAGAAGACCCAGGTTCAATTCATAGCACCACACGACAGCTTACAACTGTCTGCTACTCCAGTTCTACAGTATCGGACACCTTCACACAGGCACACATGTAGGCCGAACACCAATGCACATACGATAAAAATAAACAAAAACTCTATAATGGTACTCCCATGAGATTGGATGCTCTTTTCTGGTGTGCAGACAAACACAGAGGGAAAAAAAAAACACACATAAAATACATAATCTTTTTTTAAGAATGTGAAAAAAAAACAAAAAAAACATAGGCCTCCAACCCAGATACAGATGCTATAGTAGTATGGCTTTCTTTGCTGTGTGTGTGTGTGTGTGTGTGTGTGTGTGTGTGTGTGTGTTTCAAGAATTAAACCCAGGGCGTTTTGCACAACAGGCACAACACTGATCTACAACCTCAGCCCCTAGATGGATTCACCCCTCTCTCTCTCTTTCTCTCTCTCTCTCTCTCTCTCTCTCTCTCTCCTGGGAACATTTAACTCTCACCTCACTATGGCTCTCCAAACTATGGTCAGATTCTAGTCCTAACTTTCTTCTTCAATCTTTTTAAAATATAATTTTAATTTATTATTATTTTATACGCATTGTGGTGTTGCCTACATGTATGTCTGTTTGAGGGTGTAGGATCTCCTGGAACTAAAGCTACAGACAGGTGTGAGCTGCCATGTGGTTGCTGGGAACTGAACCTAGGTCCCCTGGAAGAGCAGCCAGTGCTCTTTAACCACAGAGCAATCTCTCCAGTCCCTTAATCAATTTTTTAAAGTTAGCATACAAAGTAATGAGTTTCATCATGGCCTCTCTCATGCATTTGACATCATACTTTGTTCTCATGTGTTCTCCTCCCTGGTCCTGGCCTTTGGAGGGCTCCTTTTGCCTTCCTAGCTGCTGATGGAACTCCAGGAACCAGCAAGAGCTGCTGCCAAAGTTTGGTACCTGCTGCTGGGGAGGCATCCCCGCCGGGGCCAGCTCCATGACTCTGGTTGACAGCTCTGCTTGAATGCTTTCCATGCCATCATACCGCTGGCCGCGATGAAGAGCCACTGTGACCAACCTCCTGAAGCCTGCGCTGGCTGCCAGCTGCTTCCGGCCCTCGTCCATGCCAAAGAGCCACTCGGTCTCTCGGCCCTGGGGTACTGGAATAGACAAAATTGGTTACAGGGAGCCACGGGGGCAAATGTTCAAGGTCCACAACCAATATGGTCCACATGGCAAAGCCAGTCACTGCTCTGAACAGCTTCCTTCCTGTGACTCCACTGAGACGCTATCAATTCCCAAAAGCAGAGCAGCCCATCAAACCTGAAGCAAGACTAAGGGTGATACACGATACAAGTCCTGGGGTTGGGGGAGACTGGAAGATAGAAAGAAAATGCTGTTTTAGACATGCAGGCCTGATTCTAAGCTGTTTAAAAATACAAATAACAGGGGCTGGAGAGAGGGTTTAGTGGTTAAGAGTACTGGCTGATCTTCCAGAGCTACTGAGTTCAATTCCCAGCAACTACATTGTGGCTCACAACCATCTCTAGTGGGATGTGATGTCCTCTTCTGGCATAAAGATGTACATGCAGATAGCACTCATGCATAAAATAATTTAAAAAAATACAAATAATATAATTCTCACAATAACAATGGCGCAAGGTGAACATGGCATTATTTCCGTTTTCACAAATGAGGAAAGAGAACATAGAACTTAAACTGTTTGTCTAGGCTCATACACTAGTGAACGCAAAGCTCGGACTCAGCCCCAGACAGCCTGGCCCGTCGCCATCCTCCTGGCCACTCCACCATTCACTCCCATAGGTAGCCAGTAAAGATTCTGAAATACGTGGAAAGATGGCTTGGTTCTCAAGAAACCAGATTTCCAGCACATGCCCACGGTTTCCTCGCTCCTCCATCCTTCTGGTACCCTCCCTGCTTTCCGCACCTTCATGTGTCACGTGGCAAGCATCATTCCTAAGAGCTTACACTTCCCAACCACACAGACGGTTACATTCCCTTCTGCTTACAAGTTATCTGAGGAAAATAAAGCACACGAAGGTACCTAAACGGGAGCTGGAATCCAAAGAGTCCACTGCAGAACTTACTCCTGTAGCTGCTCCTTGCACTGCCTCCTTTAGTTAAGTCTGCAGTGGCTTTCCTTCTGGACGACAGCACACAGGCTAGACAGAACCCGAGCTAGATCTCACAGCTGGCACCAACCAGCCCAGCCTCGCCTCCATCAATGCAAACTCTGAGTAACTAAAATTTCTATACATGTGCAATGAGTCTAAATTTACACTTACTGTGTCCTGCCTACCACCTCCATTTTCAAACTTCATCAAGCCTTTATTTTGGACTATGAAAAGAGCAAACTCAAGTCTAAGAAGGCTGCTGGAGGGCTATTACTCCCTTTTCATCATGCCTTGGCTAATCCCACCTTAAGATAAAAACAGCCATGACATACCCAATCACCAGGACCCAAGCCCAGCCCCGGCCCTGTAAGCCAGCCCTTCCAGGGAAAGACGTGGAGCAATCCCAACTCACTGATAAAAATGGCAAAATGACTGTCCCGCGATGGTTTCACAGTGGGGTTGTCCACCACGTGGAGGGTGTAGCGTGGCTCCCCAGTGTCCCCACTGCACAAGTCCAGAGACACACTCCCCAGCCCAGCCTTGCGGCGCAGCTGACTACACAGCCAAGCATAGTGCTGCCGCTCCCGCACGGCCTCAGCCAGTCCATCGGCACTCTCCAGCCGCACAGGCCTGCCCTGCTCCTGAGTACACAGCTCAAAGATCTGAAGGGCAGAGCCAGGGACTGGCCTGAACTTGGTCATGACGAAGGCAAAGACAGGCAGGGAGAACCGAGGCTCTGCTTCAGACACCTGGTCCTGGCTGCTGGCCACTTGGTGTACCCTCACCATCCACCCCTCCCGAGAGAAGTGACCCACTGCTTTCTTCAGGATGTGAGCCTGCGCCAGGGAGATGCAGAGGTAGCGACCGCCCACCTGCAGGACCCGGCCAACCTCAGCCAGCATCCTGTCCACCCGCTGCAAGGTCTGCTCCTCCTCGTCTGTCAGGACGGCATCCAGCGTGCCCTTGTCCAACACCACCTGGAATGTGGCGTCAGGAAACTCCATCTGTGCCATGTCCATCTTCAAGAAGCTCATGTGGGGGCGTCGGCTGGCATTGCGCTCCTTCATCTGCTTGATTACCACCTCACTGATGTCAATATTCACGATATCTTGATAGCCCACATCATACAGTTGCTCACTCAGCTCTGAGTTGCCACAGCCAATCACAAGCAGCTAGAGAAAAAACAAAAATCATGTACAAAATAGAAGGGACCAAGGCAAAGGCAAGCTCTTTGACACTTCAGAGAGGAAAGTCTCTCAGAGCAACCACGGTAAGGAGAAAGCAAGACTACAACTAACTCTAGATGCCATCTTGGAACTACCAATACAGGTATGTGCAACCCTGGGCCCAGGGCAGCCACGACTACAGTTCAAAACAAACTGTAAGCATTCTTAAAATGCGTATTTTTTTGCTATTATTTCACTGTGCCACTAGATTGCATGGTTCTCAAGTGTGAGCCTTGGAGATGAGAACCTTGCATTACGATGTCAAAAGCTAGACACATCTGGGAGGAATTCACTAATCAAAGGAGTATTTTGTCAAAAGAAAGATCATGTGAGAATGGTTTTATGGTGTGTGCTATTCAAAACTGAATGTGGGGCTGGAGAGATGGCTCAGAGGTTAAGAGCACTGACTACTCTTCCAAAGGTCCTGAGTTCAATTCCCAGCAACCACATGGTGACTCACAACCATCTGCAATGAGATCTGGTGCCTTCTTCTGGTGTACAAGAATACACCCAGGCAAAACACTGTATACATAATTAATAAATAAATTAAAAAAAAAAAACTGAATGTGTGGCTGGAGAGAACACTCAGTAGGTAATTGCACCTACGGTTGTTACTGAGGACCCAAGTTCAGTTCTCTGCACCCAAAAGGCCCAGCTCATGATTGCTCACACCGCCTGTTCCGGGAACTTGGATAGCCCCCTTCTGGCCTTCACGGCTCCTGTATTCACATGATGTATATAAACTCATGCAGGCAAACACACATATGCATCGTCAAATAAATAAGTAAATCTCTTTTTAAAGTCTGTAGGAAGTTGTAAAATCCAAACACGCCAGTTGCAATATCGATTTACAGTTAAAAATGGAGCCTGTCATAACTATTTCCATGCTCTCATGCTTTCCGTGTCCCCGGACAATAAACTCCAGTTTATGAGATTTCCAAATCTGCTCCCGTCACAGATTCCATCTCAGGATATTTAGCTAGTTTTCTGAAGCCAAACGTAAAAGCCCAAGTTACTGTCTCTCTCTGCAGCCCAATCTCCCATTCATCTTTCAAAAGTCTGGTGTCACCATCTCCGGAGGGAAAAGCATCTTTCGGTGAGATGTGACTAAGCTCTGGCGTCAGACAGACCTGTTTTTAAATCTCCATTTGACAACCTACTATATGTGTGACCTTCAACATTCACCTGTAAAAACAAGTGCCCCTGAATTTGCTAAGAATAAAAAAACTGCACATGCCTGACGGTACGTTTTCCTCCCTGCCGCCAATACAACCCCACCTCTTCCACGGCTACTACTAAACTTGGAACGTTGCGCTGTCAGAGTGTGTGCAGTTTATATCACTGCTCCTGGGGCTTGAGTATAGGGCACAACGTCTGAAACCTGATAAGCACCCAGCAATGACCTATCAACAAAGCCAGACGGTGCTGCCAATGCCACACTTGGGCACAGCGACACAACACCCCTTCAGACTACTGACGAAGCCACCATTCCAAATACGGTGAAGACAGAAAAGTTTCTCTGCTTAGTAGACCAGGCTGGCCTTGAACTCACAAGATCCGCCTGCCTCTGCTGGGATTAAGGGCAGGCGCCACCATGCCCGAAGGATCAGCTTTTAACTGAAAGATTTAAATGGCTATTTTAAAGTTGTCATTTGGCCAAAATGCTGCACGGAGTCCTGAACTGTGGATCCGAGGAGGATACCCACGCCTGCCTGTCTCCTAAGTTTAGGACTGCTATCTTCAGTCCCCAAGAAGAATTCCTGGCCGCACGTCGTACCTTTTCCCTGGGCTTGATGTATTTGTGCAGCACTTCACAGAGTTCCAGGTAGGTTCCATACCATTCGAAAGATTTCTTCCCTCGCTGTTGGAAGAACTTCTCCCAATAGTCAACAGAGCCAAACTCCTTGGAGCTTTTAGGTAAGAGATTCATGTTCCCACGGCGAGGTGCGTCTCCGAGACCACTGGTGACAGATCATGAAGGGGACTCACCCCAGGAAGCCCCGAGATGCAGCCGCGGGAATCTCAGCCACTACAGACGGCATCGAATCGTTCCACACTCAAAACCCAACCGAACACCACTACGCGGCACACGCACGCGCGCGCCGCCCCCTTCTCTGCACCCTCAGTCCGCGCCCCACGTGCAACAAGCCCCACGCTCGGGCTGCTGCTCTCAGAACCAAGCAACCACATCCGGGTAAGATGCCTCGGGATTGGTCTGGCGCCCATACCAGACCGGCACCTCATTGGCCATTGAGTCTCATTTTTGGCATTTCATTGGTTGCTCGTAGGCGTCATGCGCTTTACCCAAGGCGACTCGAGTGGGCGGGACTTCCTGCCAGAGTCCGGGCGGAAGAGGCCTACTGCCGGGAGCCAGGAGCGGCTGCGCGCGCCGCCACAGAGGCCTCTGGGAGACTGTGCTCCATCGCCGGCTGAGGGCGCGCGGACACTGGGAGCTCACTTAGCAGAATGGTGTCTGAATCCGGAGCAGGAGGCTCTCTTGTTCAAGAGGACGTAAGCTTTGGTCTGCACGTGCCTTTCTGTCGTCTCAGTCCTGCACAGCCCAGCGCTGTTCCCTTCTGCATCTCCTCTCCCCGGATCTATTTGCCACCGTTCTTGGTTAGTTCAGAAGGCAATGACTACTTTCTCTGCCCCAAAATACAGGGCTTCGCTATCAACACTGTAACAACGTAAAATTTCAGGAGGAAAGACTAGCAACCGATAATACAGAGGCGCCTCCTGAACCCTTTTCCTCACCCCTTAAAACACAGTAGCCAAACTGAAGATTCGTTTTGTTAGGGGCTTCCTTCAATTGTCCTTCTGATGTCAGCTGTAAAGGTATATTATATGTGTCCGTTGAGCATGTCATCCTTCCAGATGCTCGTTTTATGAAAATATTCCAAGGAGGTTCCTGGTGAAGGACTGTTTTGAAAAGACGATGGAAGAAACAGCTCTCACGATAAAGGAGCAAGAGAGGTGGTTTATTCTGGATGCAAATATGAGTGATCATGGTCCATAGGTTCCTCAAATACCATATTCCCATGAGGTGGCAGTTTCATGGACTTTTTATAGTAACAACAGAAAGTAGTAAAATAACACACTTCCAAATATCTTGATGGGTATATTGTGAGATATTTAAAACCAAGCAGGACAAACTAGATATCTGTTCCTACTTCCCAGAGGCTTTACATAATGGTCACAAAAGATGTGAAGTCATGCACAGAGGACACTAAATAGCTATTAAGGAGGCACATTTCAACTTCTTCACATTGAAGCTGCAATCAATGAGTCTTTGAGGACACAGCTTTCAGTATTTCTTGTTCACAGTCTACACACATAGTACTAGCTCAGACGCTGAACACTTAGAGTAGACATAATGTTTAAAGTAATCTTCAAGCATTTCATAATCATCCATTGGACTTTAATTGAAAATTTTTTCATCTGATATATTCTGATCATGGTTTCTCCTCCCCAAACTCCTCCCAAATCTTCCCCATGATACTCCCACCCTTTAGCAAGCAAACAGGCAATAATACCCAGAATCAAAAAGAAAGAAAGAAATTAAAAAACAACAACAGAAAAAACATACACACACAAACGTCCCGTCAAAACACAAAATTGAAAACCATAATATACAGGCAAAAGACCTATAAGGCAAAAAAAAAAAAATGTCCAAACCAAGCAATATGAGATTTTTTAAAAAGTCTACAAAAATACCCTTTAGTTTGTTTTGTTGGCCATCTATGCTGGGCATGGGGCCTAATCTTAGTGTGGTTAATATAACCAATTAGATGCCATTGGAGAAAATTGATTTTTCCTTTGCAAGCTGGTATCAACTGCAGATAACTTCTTGATCAGGTATGGATGCCAGTGTCTATTTACCCCACTCAGGACTGGGCTCCCACATGGCTTGGACCTGTACAGGCTCTGTTCATGCTACCTTTGTCTGTGAACTCATGTGCGCATCAGTCCTGTCGTGTCTGGAAGACAATTTTCTCGGAGTCATCTGTCCCCTGTGTCTTCTCGTCTGCATAGCTCCCTGAGCCGTGAAGAGAAGAGTTTGATGAGGTTGTTCCATTTAGGACTCAGTACCCAAAACCTCTCAGACTCTGCACATTGCCTAGTTGTGGGTCTGTGTCAGTTCTCATCTACTGCAGGAGGAAGCATCTCTGACGGTGGCTGAGCAAGGCACTGATCTATGGTTATAGCAGAATGTCCTTAAAAGTCATTTTATCAGTATGTTCCTTTAGCAGAGCAATAGGGTTTGGTTTTCCCTTAGACCCATAACCTATCCAAGTCTATGCTTCATGGCCACCAACAGTATCAGGCATGAATTTCATCTCTTGGAATGGGCCTTAAATCCAGTCATACAGTAATTGATTTTTTCCACAGCTTTTGTGCGCTAGCATATCTTGGAGACAAGTCACTGCCATAGATTGTAGGGTTTGTAGCTGGGTGGTGGTTACCTTTCTCTAGTAGCACGCAGAGTACCTTCCAGGATCACGAACACTAGTCAGTAAGGGTGAAGGCTCCCATGGGACTTCTCAAAACAGGAGATTGGTTAGTTGCTCCATCCCCACCCCAGCAAAGTTTTGATCCTTTAGTTCAGTGGTGAGACTCAGAGATCTGTGTTTCTAAGAAGTTGCCAGATGATGCTCTAGGGAGATGTCATCCCTGAGCTAGTATCAGATCCTTCCAGGAATGTCCCTTCTAATGCTATCATTCCAAGACCACACTTTGAAAACCACTGCTTCAAATTCTAAATGAGTGATAAGGAAAAATGAATATGGTGTAAGACAGGATAGAAAGGTGGGACAAATTAAGGGGACTTGAGGAAAAGAAGCCCCAAAGCCCCTCCCTTTGGAATGTGGTCCTGTTTTCTAGCTGAAAGTCTCACACAAAGCAAAATGAAACAAAAAACCTTAACACAACTAAAGGCCAGAATTAACTACCGTGATTACGCTAATTTTCCTAAAGATATATAAAACAAGGATGTGAAAAACAACCAAATGCTTACATAGGGCCAGGTCATTTAAAACCTTGGGTTTAGCCATGTCAGCACTCCTCTCTCCTCTCTAAAGCAAACAACATGTGGCATAAAGCTGCCCTAAAAATTCATTTATAAGAAATTCCTTAAGGTAAGGAAAATAAACTAGCTCATAGTTCTGTACATAATTCTACAGCTCTGCCTAATCGTTACTGCTTGTAAATTATATCCTTTGAGAAATGGAACAGCCATAAAGTCACATTATATAGTCTTTGTAAACACACCTAAGTGGTACTCTCTTAAGAAGGCCACATCCACACTTGGGTATATTCTGGGCATTTCTTTCTAAAAACCAGTGCTTCAATCTAAATTGTACACTATCTACCATTCATACATAATAAATTCACTTTTCCTTCACTCTGACTTGTCTTGAAATTCTTTTCTGAAAAGTAGTCAAGAATCGGATCAGAACTCGTCAGGTCATTGGTGGCAGTTCTGGGATGTGTCTCCTCACCATTGCTGATACTTTTAGCTCCGCAATTTCAAAGGTTAATTTTTTAAAAATCCCCTACAAGTAACATGAAGGAATATTTGTCTCCTGCTTCACTCCCTCCGTTCACGTTCTTCTCTCCACCCAAACGTTTTCCTACTACGTAACACAAGGTCCCAATCAGGGAGGGGTGGGGCCTTTTTGAAATCCTTTTTAGGAGTCAAGGACATCACTTGTGCTTGAAAAACTACACAACTGGAAAGAAGCTGAGCAGCATCCACCAGTGCAAGGCTTTGTCAGTTCAGTAAGTGTTTGAAATGTCTAATAAAAGCTATCATCTACAGAAAAGTAGCACAGATCAAATTATAGATAAGTGATAAGCAAGACAGTCGTATGAAAGGCGTTAAATGGTTGCAAAAATATCTGCAGTGGGGGTAGTGATGCTTTACAGGAAAAATAAAACAGATTCCTATAGCAGAGACCTTTGAGGCCTCTTTTCTAACCTAAGGGTAGGCCAGAGAAGGCTTCCTTGGGAAAGGTGGAAAGAATCTGTACTATGCTTCAGTCCATGCTGCTTACCTTATTTTTTCTCAATGAGAGCATGCATGCATGAAGGAGGAGGAAGAAGAGGATTATGAAGAGGAGGAGGAGGAGGAGGAGGAGGAGGAGGAGGAGGCAGTTCACCCTCTGGGGCAGTGGTTCTCAACTTCCCAATGCTGCAACCCTTTAATACAGTTCCTCATGGTGTGGTCACCCCCAACCGTAAAATTATTTCATTGCTCCTTCATAACTGTAATATTGCTACTGTTATGAATCATAATGTATATATCTGATATGCACGATATCTGATATGCAACCCCCAAAGGGGTTTTGACCCACAGTCTGAGAACCGATACTCTAGAGGCCTCCAAGGAATTCTGGCTGTTTCTTTCCTACTCTTCTTATCTCTACTCTTTCTGTCCAGAGCATGACATCAGAAAAGGCAATAGAAGTACTGTCTATTCAGATCTAAGTTTTGGATTCTTACAAACTGCCCCCAAAGGGTGATTACTGTTAGCAGTATGTCTCATATCAAAAATGTATGAATTATCTATTGTCATATGTGCTGGCCTCCTTTCTTTAACCCAAAGAAAGCAATAACAGCCAGAACAGTTTTACATGGTAGAGATTTGCTAAAATGCAATCATAAATTTTAGAATATTTTAGAATATTCTGTAGCTCAGATTCTATCACTAGTCTTTACTGATCTGAAACACTTCTTGCACGATTTAACTATGATATATAATTAATAAGCATGGGTTATCATTAATCCCGTTAAAGTTAGATGTTAAAATTCTTTGTTGTGTTAGTATTCCCAGACTGATCATCTCTATGATTTAAAATGAAGAGTAAAAGGCTGGATACATGGCTCAGTGGTTAAGAGAGCTAGCTCCTTTCAAAGAGGACTCGGGGTCAGTTTCCAGCAACCCATATGGTGGTTCAAAACCATCCATAACTCCAGTTCCAGGGGATCTGATGCCCTTTTCTGACTTCATAGGCACCAAGCACATATGTGGTACACACACATACAAGCAGATGAAACACTGACGTACAGGAAATAAATCTAAAAAAATCAAAGACTGAGTTTAGATAAATTCATCCAACACTGTTTAGTTTCCTTACAAAAATATAAATCTAGACCTCTGGGT